TTCGACAACACATGGTCTTTTGTATGAAATGACATTGTCTCTATATATAATCGTAAATATCATAAATATATACAGAGGGAAAAGTCCATGGGCCATGTTGAAAGTTTTTCAATTTATGCCGCTTTAAAGTATTTCCCCTGATTATATCTCTCTCTCTCTCTGCTTCTTTTTCATTCAATTTTTTGGAAAATGAATGAATGGGAAAATGGCGGAGAAAAATCTGCGTGGAAAAACAAACACAATTCAAATATGAAACAATTTTAAAATGGTTTCAAAGTTATTTGGCTTAATGGCCTTTTGATAAGACGAATGAAATAAGGTATAAAAATGTGTGTCATATAAAAAATACCCATGTATCTTTTCCAATGGGAATTTGTGATGGAATATTTGAATTTCCACATCCAAAATATGTGAATGAAAACTTCATGCTATAATTCCGTTCGAAAAGACAGGTTCAGCGGCTCTTCTAGAGATCCTATCTCTCACAATACCTTTCCCTAAGATATTTCCACATTTCCCTAAACATTAATCAACAATTTTCACACCTCCAGCCCAAAACACTGTCTCCTGATCAAAACAATCCTCCTCCGGGGGTTCAGTTCCGAGTTTTGTCTGCTGTTTTGTTGACATTTGCTGGTCATGAAAAGTCATTAAATATATTTCTCTAATTTATCTTTTTCGACTGTGGCAGCTCTCTTTCGTGGCATTAAAGTAAAGTTTTGGAGCGGAAATGTTTGTCTGGCCGCCCGGCCAGTGTGGATGGGTTTTCCCCCCGCCCCAGACTGCGGCTCAACCCTTTTGCCTTGCTTCGCTAATTAAAACTAATCCAATGGCAAGGACCCGGGGCCCATTCAGAAGTGTTGGGTTGTACTTTTCGCATAACTGTCAATCAAGAGCCACAATTAAATGATTGAAGACTTTCGTAGCCTTTCGCATATCCTTTGTTTCTCTTCGAGATGCTCCTTTCGAGTGGGCTGGTTGGGATCCAATAAAATATTTATACTCCCATCTTTTGGGTGCTCCCATTTTTTGTAGTTTGTATCTGGGAGCTGGTTTAGTTCTGAATGCATATCAAGTGGAGAGACAACAGCAGATACTCGTACAAAATATTTCCATGAGAAATTGACTTTTTCCACAGCTCCATCGTCGTCTCCGTTCGCTGTCTCTGTTGTCTGTTGGCTGTTGTCTTCCTTTGGCCGGAATGATTAATGGTTCTCTGCTCTTTGCGCATTCGGTCGGTCGGCCCACACCGACAATAAGATATATCCAGCAGCTACATATTTGTATCTGTTGTAGCTCTGTTGCTGTAGCTGTTGCTGTATCTGTATCTGTATCTCGTTTTTTTACTGCTGCTGCTGTTGCTGCTGAATGAATGAATGAGAATTTCTACTGCAACGCGCATCAGCATTTGGCATTTCAGCTACCGACTTCTGACTGATGCCGCATCGGCATTGTCTTCTCCAAGTCTTAGTTTTTTTTTTTCTTTATTGTGCCACCCCTTTGATTGAATTTGTCAGATACTTTTGCTCAAAGTCTTAAAGCTTTAACGAACCTCAAGAATCAGACGGAATGTAGCTGGCCAAGGAAAATGTTTCCCCTTTCCTCTGGCTAGACCAACACGAAAATTTACAAGATAAATTGAGGTCATTTTTTGCCACTTGGGTCCGAGTCCGGGTTCGGGTCCGGGTCCGGGTCTGTGTCCCACCTTGTTGACCGCTCTTGTCCTCTGACCCGGCCACAAATGTCCTTAATGTGCATCCTTATGGACTGTGGTCATGTGCAAGTGGTCGAGCCCAAAAAATGGTTACACACAAGCCCCCATCCTACCATCTACTTATGTATGTACTTCGTAGTTAGTGTTGACCAAATAGACACACGAGTGTGCATACAATTCATTCTGGAAATTCCTTGCCATGTGAGGGGGAGAGACCACAGATGATTTACTTGAAGAACTGGTGAGGGATATACACTGCGAGGAACTAAATGAGATTTTTAGGACCAGTTTTGATGGTCTCCCTTCTGCAGATCTCTTGGGCTTTTACTGGCTGATTTCTCCCTCTGTACTGATTATAATATTCCCTTTTTTTAGCAGCCATCTTTGTGCAATTGTTGCAAAATGTACGCTCGTTTTAATTTCCAGACCAAAGGTGCGGCAAATGCGTTAAATGTGCCCCGCTTTGCCATGGCATCTTCTGGCAGGTTTTTTGTGGGTTTCCCCAAATAGAAACATAAATTTCCCAGGAGCAGCAGCAGCAGCAGCAGCAGAAGAAGGTCCTTCGGTCGTAGTGGACAGCGGACAGCGAGTGCGTTTAAGTGTTAACATGTAAACGATGCTGTTGAAGCAGTTAATAAGTGTATCCCTATTCCTCCCAAAAAGGACTGGCTGTAAATCATGCAGAAATGCTTCCTCTGCTGTCTGCTTGAATTTTGCTATTGAAACTAATTTTATTTCCAACCAAAAGGGAGGAGATCTACGAGCAAACAATAACCAACTGATGATTTCTAATATTTAAGTTGAAGGCAATCCCAGAGTCCTGCCACAAAACCCAATCCAATCCCGAAAAGCTGCTGCAAAGTATCCTCCTCCTTCGTTTGTAGTTTTGCTGATAAGTTTCCATTTTGACTTTTCCGGCATTTCATCCATGCTGATGACATTTCCAATGTCTCTACGGCTACGGCTACGGCTACGGCTGGGCGCCTCTCTGCCTCCTCCTTCATCTCTGGGGCCATGACAAAACAAAATTCATTTTGTAATTTCCAAGCCACCTCTAGAAAAGAGCCAGAGAGAGCCAGGAACCAGAACCAGAGGCAGAACCAGAGGCAGAGCAGGCAGCTGTCATTTGCTTTTGGGACTGCAGTGTTGGGTGGTGTTGGGTGGTGCAATGCTTTCGCTATGGATTCCATTTTGACCAGGCTGCAGAAATTGCACTCAACTTGGCTTCTGCCTAGAATCTTTCCCGCTCTCTCTCTGTGTGGCACTTTCGAGAGGGGCTTGGGTTCGGGTTTTAGAAAATTATCTTTTTGCTTGTCGTCGCCAAAAAGGAAATCATATTTTCTGCTTTTGTGCACTTTACTTTTCAGTTTTCCCTCTGGCTGACTGCCGTTTTGGGCTCTGCCTGAGTGCCTGCCGTGCCGTGCCCTGCCCTGCCTGCGCCTGGTGGCCCTCTGGCTCGTAAACAGTTTTCGGCTGCAACTTTTGTGCGAAATTTATGCTTTCATTCCGTATCTATATCTCTGGGCACTTTTCGCACAAGTACGAGTAACCAAAGTACACGGTACTCGCACTCCACGCTCCCGCCTCCGGGCGTTCGTTCTGGGGAAATGGCCTCTCCTCTCCTCTTCCCACCCTGCTGTGTGTGTGCCGTGGCCGTGCCCCACCAGGTGGTGTTTATGGCATCCGCTTTGCGAGTATTGATGAAGGAACCCCGAGTGTTCGCTTCGCATCTGTAATTCAATCAGTGTCTATGTCTGGCTCCTGGTCCTGGTCCTGGTCCTCCCGCCCCCACTGCTGCCATTTTCCGCTATTGAGACTCTGTTTACGCAGCTCGTTCAACTGGAAATTTGTGTGCTGTTGCCAAACAACAAAAAAAAGTCGCGAAAATATAAGAAAAATATTTTTTGCAATCGCATCAATGCAAATAAGGTGTGGAGAAACTCGCTGGAAAGGTGGGGGGTGGCGGGGTAAAGGAATCAAATGTTCAGTGTTTCCTAAAATGATATGCGCATTTCTTTACTACTCAATGCGAATTTTATTTCGGTGGCACATTTATTTCAATTCGTTCAAGTAGAAACAACTTTTCTTTTCCCCGATCTTCCGTCATTAGAAAGAGAAAAGTTTTTTGGGTACTAGTGGGAAGATTTTTGGGTTCTGTACAGGGATTTGAAGTAAAGGAAAGTTAAGGGGATCAAGAATATATAAGCAATAGCCCTACAGATTGCGGGAAGGTATAGCAATCGTTCTATGCAATTCTCATAAATACCACATGAGGTAGATCTTTTTCGTGCATTTTGGTATTTTATTTAGTGGTATTTTTAGTGGTATTGTTATTATTAATATTTTTTAATTTTAATTTATTAAAAATATTCTAGTATTTTAGTATTTTCGGTACATTTAGTATTTTTTTGAAATTAAACCCAATTTGAATAGAATTAATTTGTTATCTCGACTGGGATTCCATTAAAGTTCCTATTTGGTATTCAGTATCTATTCTTCTGCTATTATTCTACTATTAAACTGGTATTAATCTCTTCAAAAGTGAACCTAATCTCACGAATAGGCTATATCCTTATAGTCTTTGAGTACTACAACGTATTCAGGGTGGTTTCGCCTACTTTTCACGGTAAAATCCCTTATTGAAACAAGAGAAATTTCAAACGCTATGATTTTCCATGGATTCACAGCCAAAATATGAATATCATTCCGTGTGGCGCAGCATTTCCCTCATCTCACACTTTATTCAAATGAAGTTCTCATCTCCCCCTGCCCTGCCGCCTGGAAGCCATGTTCCCATGCTGGTAACTGCCTCTACTGATTGCGGCTTCTGTTCGGTAGCCAAACTACTTGAGAGCCACATCGGCCGCGGCTCTGTGGCCATGTCTCTTCTCTCCATCACCGATTGATTGATTAGATTTTTGTTAATTACTTAACGCTCTCGGAGGTATTTCCCGAGCTGCGAAAAAGCGAAACTTACCGCCGCGGCGGCATCAGCTGCAGTGCTGTGTTTTTTTGGGCGGAAGGTAGTGGTGGAGAATCTTTTGGAAAAGTTACTGCCATAGTTGGCTAGCATTTCCATTGAATTAGTTATGCTCGGTGAGGAACTGATGGATTGATTACACGAAAAAGAGATAGATAGGACTTCCAGAAAACTTGTAGGACACAGCGAATGCAAGAATGTCGAAGGTATATGGTATGGTTTGGAAACCCCAAGCAGAAAAGATAGCAAAAATTCACATTCACTCTCCAAAGTCTCAAAGAACAAAATGCAATTTCTCAATTGCAGCTGAATTCGTTCCAGAAAACGGCCTGCCCCGACGCCTCCGCACCGCGTACACGAACACCCAGCTGCTGGAGCTGGAGAAGGAATTCCACTTCAATAAATATTTATGCCGCCCAAGGAGAATCGAGATAGCAGCCAGCCTGGATCTAACCGAGCGACAGGTGAGTCGCTCCCGCCGTTTCCCCATTTTGGCAGTGCAGTGCAGCTCTCTGCTCTGCAGAATGTATTCCAATGTATTCCGCCAATCCATTTTGTGGCAGCAGCAGCTTGCACTCGCACTGAAGGAATTCCATTATTTCGCTGACAAATTGCATGCAGCACAGGGTTGACAGGCGGGTACTGCCTCCTCTCATTCCTGTGTCTGCCCTCCTGCTTCTTCTCTACTTTTTAATTGCACACCTTGACGCCTTGAACTAATCTAATTTTGGTGTCTTGCAGGTAAAAGTTTGGTTTCAAAACCGCCGCATGAAACACAAGCGGCAAACGCTCTCAAAAACAGACGATGAGGACAACAAAGACAGCCTCAAAGGTGACGATGATCAATCCGATAGCAGTAAGTAAAGCAAATGTATATTAAACTAGATTTAAGAGGAAATTTCCTTGCTTTCCAATCACACCTCTGACATACATCCCTAAAGGATACATGAAACTGTACCGCACTCTCAATGGAACCCTTCCATTGGGCACCAGGTCCAGGTTCATCCAACAAGTTGTTCCACTTTTACTTTTCCGCCTGTGGTTTTCGTTGAGTTGAGAGGCTTTTAAGGAGAAGAGTAAAAGATGCTGTAGCTTATCAATCATTGTCAGTGGTGGGATGCCACGGCTAACCCTAACCCCTTTCGTGTGAGAGTTTTTGGTCCTCTGCCTTCCAGCCTTCAGCTCCAGCTTATGAAAACAAATCATCAATTTTCTACAGCTATATACTTACTGATTCGCATTTTGTTTTACCTTTCATGCCCAGACTCCAATTCGAAGAAATCGTGTCAAGGCTGCGAACTGCCCTCCGATGATATACCCGATTCGACGTCCAATTCCCGGGGACACAACAATAATACGCCGAGTGCCACCAACAATAATCCCAGTGCGGGAAGTCGTAAGTGCTTTCAAGTCAAAGATTTGGATTAGAACTCATATCGAACATCTCTTTCGCTCAGTGACTCCCAACTCCTCTTTGGAAACGGGCATCTCCTCGAATCTGCTTGGCAGCACCACCGTATCCGCCTCGAATGTGATCAGTGCCGACTCCAGTGTGGCCTCCAGTGTCAGCCTGGACGAGGACATCGAGGAGAGCAGTCCCATCAAAGTCAAGAAGAAAGATGAGAATCAGGTGAGGATCAACACATATTCTCTGACTGAAAATCCTTTTTCAAATGGATCATCTATCTCTCTGCAGGTCATCAAAAAAGAGGCAGTGTCCACCTCATCGAAGGCGTCGCCCTTTGGCTATGAGAGCTCTACGCCGAGTCTGGTCAGCTTTCGGCGGGACTCGGATGCCGTCATCGCCTCCGCCAATCCTCCCCCAACAAAGGGCAAGAAACGTTACCAGAATAATGCCAATTCTATTGCCACGCCCACACCCCTCACCGATAGTAATAGTGGTGGAAATGTTGGTGCCGGCGGCGGTGGAGGTGCCTCAGCTGGTGGCTATTTCCCTGGCTACTATCCTAGTCCAAAGCAACAAATGCAACAGCAGCAGCAGCTGCATCCGCAACAGCAGCAGCAGCAGCCACAGCCACAGGACTATTATGGCAAATACGATATTGAATTCGCCGCCTCGCCGCACCACAATAATCCGCACAAGCAACAGTCGCTGCACGCGGGCGAGTATCTGAGTCCCAAACCCAATGCTGCCACATTCCACCAAAACAGCCAGCAGCAGCAGCAGCACGACCAGCAGTTTTATTACAACTACAACGACGCCAACGGCAGTGCATACATGAACCACCAACAGCAGCAGCAGCAACAACACCACCACGTTGGTGACTTTGAGACGCCACCTATCAACGGACCGAGCAATTTCAACAGTGGTTACTACGACAACATGAGTTTTCAACATCAAGCGCAGGCGCAGGCTCACCAACAACACCAGTCTGTGGTGTTTCAACAACAGCAGCAACACCAACAGGCTCCCATTAATCATCAGCAGTAAGTAGACTTGAATCGATTTTGTTGAATATTCTCGTGCGGTTGTTGTCTTTGCTATGCCGTAATACACATGTAAAATGTAGCACGAATGGCGCCACTATGGCGGCGATAAATTGAACCTGAAATCCAAAAACTGTTCCGCAACATCCTCTTAGCAGCATATGTTGCTGAGCCGTTTTAGTTTGAATTCAAATTAAAATCAAATTCAATTTGATTATTTTTTACATATTTCCTCCTTTTTCTCATTACAGACACATGCATCACCTGGGCACGGGCGAGGCTTATAGCGCTCTCGGTTTGCAGATGGAGAACTGCGATGGCTACAATAATTTTGGAGGTCCAGGCAGCGCTGGCGCTGGTTCTGCGGGTGCTGGTGTTGGTGTTGGCTACTACGAGGCGGGTCAACAACCCCCTGTACCGCCCCACACGCACACGCACACCCATCACCCCCACCATCATGTTCAGGTGCAGGCGCAGGCGCATGCCCATCTCCATGCCCACCACAATCCTGCCGCAGCAGCAGTCCAAGCGGGCGTGGGAGTGGGCGTTGGAGTGGGTGTTGTTCCTCCACCACCGCCGCCATCGCATATCCATGGCTTTGCACTGAATGGCGGGGGACCGGCGGTCCAGAGTCAGGCTTTTGTCAGTGGCGGAGGCAGCGCCGGCGGAGCTGCTGCGATCAGTGGCCTGGAGAACTCGAACAGCTCATCGGATTTCAATTTCCTGAGCAATCTGGCCAATGACTTTGCACCCGAGTACTACCAACTCAGTTAGTTCGTGTAGGAAGAGGCGACTGTACAGTTCTAGCCTAATTCCCTCCCCGTTTGCCTGTCTGTCTGTAAGTGTGTAAGTGTGTGTGTGTATCTGTGTTTCTCTTCGATGTTGTAGCCACGTAGCGCACATATCTGTAAATACTATTCCTAAGAATTAACCCTAAAGAGTTCTATTCCATCTGTACTTAGGATAAAGATAAATTTTGCTTTTGGCTAAAAGTCAAACAGAAAATTCTCCCATTCAGAAATAAAAGAAAACACCGGTAAAACTGTAAATAGCTAGAAAAATTCAACAACTAATCAAACAAATATTTAAATACAAGCAAAGTCTCTCTTAAAACTAAGCAAATCAAATTAATTTCTTATTCTTTTGTTGATTTTGTAAATATTTAAAAGTAGCTTAAATCAAAAGTTTATAAATCGAAATCAAAATTTGAATCCCTCCTCCGCGATTCAAGTGCAATTTCTCTTTCAAGAACTATGATTTAGAGTCTTAAGGAACACACTCAATTATTTCAATGTTTGTAATGTTTGTACGTTGCCTTTAAATTTCCCCCCTATACAAAAATACACTATAACTATTAAATAATTAAATAAATATGGCTTAAATATACATCTTTGTAAGGAGAAAGAATAAAAACTAATTAAGATATGAATATGAAACAGCAATTGAGTTCACATCTTGTACATATAAGTTTCCTTAATCTGCCATTTAGGGAGCAATACATGCAGACGTCCACAGCCATTGACAAGCGATGATTGATGGCTGGAATGGTTGGGGTTCGAAAGGGAACTTAAGGCCATATCCCGCTGCTTTTCAACATTTTGGGATTACGTATTCCAAATGCCAAACAATGGCTGAAACAAATCTCTTTTAAAAGGCGAAAAAAATACTTAAAGAAATTCCTAGACTTAACATGAAATTTCAACCTAAATTCAGGGATAAATTTTAAAATACTTTCGTTTTGATTTGATTAAGGAAAGTGCCAACATTCATGGTTCATTTAAACAATCCATGAGATGCAGGCAAACAGAAGAACAGAACAGAACAGAGAGCATTTTCAACAGCTTTTTCCCCGGGGAGAGGGCCTCCGACTCCGAGGCTCATTCGTCAACCAGCATTTTTGGGTTTTGCCTGTCAACGTTTTAAGGTATATTCGGGAGAGACAGAGTGTCTGGACCAGGAACAACTAAGCCACATGATACACATGTCCCAGTCCCAGTCCCATGTCGTCGACTACGCACAATTCTGACAGTAGCGGTGAAAATTTAAGATTGATCACCAGGGCCGAGTGTTTGCTGGAAATTGGTTGAGCGCTGTTTGGGTGTCCCTGTCGATGTCCGTCCAATATCCGTATCCGTGTCCATGTCGAGTGCAGGGCTAAAACCTAAATAATGTCACAGAATGTCTGGCTGTTTGGTTTTTCCCCAAAGGACTGGACAGACATGGACCCCTCTATGAAAAGGGAGTTGCCCGACTGTCGACTGTCGGCTGCCTGGCTAAATTAATTTAATTAACAGACCACTGCAGCACGATTCCACAGTACAGCAGCTCTAAGGTCACAACGAAACGAATTTGTATTGAAAATCATAAAAATAATCACTTCAGTAGCCAACAGCTGGCCGTCAGCAGGCCGCCGCTACTCGTATCTTGAAGATATATTGTATCTATTGGACAACTGTTGAAAAAAAGATAAGCTGTGGAGCTTGTTAATTACAATTTAGTTTGGTTTGCTTAATTTCTGAAGGAAACACTCCACTCGGAATTTTGTTTATGTTAATCGACGCGGCGAATGCAATTCACAAACGGCTAAGCGGAATAGTTGGAAATAGTTTATGGCCATTACAATTACAAATTCCACAGCCCAAAGCCCATAGCCCAACTGCTTAACCAGGCTGCTGCTGTCTCAAATAATGCCAATTAAACTTGCACACACCAAAAAAACCAGTTCACTTATCATTTTTCTTAGACATTTTTTACCCTTTTTTGCCCCTTTTTTATGTATGTATTTTATTGTGCTTTTTTTTTGGCAGTAGCAGTGGCACCTGTGTGTGCCGTAAACCTTTAAAATCTGCTGACTGTACAGGGGGCACTCACATGGTGGGTCTGTCATAGTTATAGGCTTTGCCTCTTGCTCTGACCTTGATATACATACAATTATTGTTAGCATTGCGGCCTTTCTGGCTAACGAAATGATTTCATAGATTTTGTTCAACGATTTCTTTGATCACAAGCCCAAAGAAAAGTAAAAGTTTCAAAAGGGAGAAGAATGTTTTTCAGTTTTGAGTGCCTTGAGGATTGTTAGTTAATTAAAAATCTAGCAAACTTTGATCATTTCCACGTATCATTTGGGAGCTCCTTGGAACTCCTCTGAGAGCATGAAATTCTATTACAAAATCCAGAAAAAACAATACTCTGTTTTCGATTTTTTTTTTTTACTTTTTTTGGTAGCCTATTGTTGTTCTTTTGTTTATTGTTTACACCTAAACTTAAACACAAATGTGAATTTTGTCCAAAGTTCCGAAACGACGTTTGGTGGGGTGTTGCTGGATGGATGGATGGATGGATGGATGGGTGTGGTGCGACCTTCCAACGATTCAATGTTTCGTGATGAGGGCCAAAAAGGTGTGTGGGCCAGGATGCTAGCTGGCTCCGTCTGGGTTCTGGTCCTAGACTGGTTTTTGTGTGTGTGTGTGTGGATTGTGCAGAGGATTTGTTGGAAGTGGTGCTGTTGGAAGAGGCGGCTGTGACTGGACCGAAATCGAAAGGATTTTCCTGGCATTATTTTCGAGTACGCCGATGGCTGAAATCTAAGAGAAGGGCAATCTGCAAGAGCTCAAATGTTAATTCTTTTATAATTGGTCCTAATGGATGGGATTACCTCTAGACATCTGCCATTTGATGGACTGGGCGCAACTGCATCCGAAAAGTACGTTATCCAAAAGGTGAAGTTTTTGCTGGTCCGGCTACACCCCAAAGCGCGATCGCAAGCTGCTCCTGTGCCCAACCTCTTGGACTCAACACAAAACACTGAATGAGCCGCCAGAACCGGAGATGCACTATTTATACGAGAGGCCGAAAGCCAGTTTACCCCCTGCTTGAGGTTCGACGATCCTTAAACTCACTTGATCGGGTTTTTTCTGGTCTCTCTCTCCTTTTGTTTTTTAGAGCTTGTGCTTTCTGTTTTTGTCTGGTTGCATTGTCAGTTCTCATTGTTGTTGGGCTGTGTATTCCATGGCTGATAATGATGATGATGAAGTTGAGAAGGGTTCCGGCTACGGCCGCTATCGATGAAGAGTCCAGCACAGCACAGCACCCAAAAATCTGAAATCTTCCACTTGATTAGTCAGTTAAATCGCATCGGCAAAAGGGGCTAATCGATGCCAGCAGTTGGCTAGTTGAGATTGGAGTACCTCTAACCTTGGATCGCCCCTCTAGACTCCAGAATTGTTCTTCAACAGCGACGAACAGCAACAGCAGGTGTTCTATGGACCCCAGTCCCACATAAATTCCTATTTAACTGTGGGAAGAACTAGCGGAAGAAGAACAGAACAGATCAGAACCCCCAGAGAACCCTTAAAACTTCAGCTAGAACTAAAAGCGAAACTGAAAATGAAACTGAAACTGATTCGAATGTTCCCCTTAGTATTTATCATTCATGCAAGTAAAGTCATGACCCCATAATTTCCGTTTTATATTACAAACAACAGATAAAAGCGAGGCAAAGGATTCTTTGCGATTGCGGTAGGGAGGAGTCCTTCGTCCATTCAAATGGAAATCTGCAAGACAAAAGCACAAGAATTTTGTCTGCCCCGTCAGACAGAGGGGGTCTAGGGATAGGGATAGGGATAGGGATCGTCAGCGGAACGATCAAGCAGGCCAAAGCAGTTCGTTGCCCTCGAATGAGCATCGCATCCTTAAAGGAGCGCGAAACAAAAGTCCTGGCGAGACTGCAAGGAATTGCATCGCTCTACGAGTACGATTGCAGCAGCAATCCTTTTTGGTCTGTGAACTTTTTCCGTTGTCCGACAAAAACAAGTTCTGAAAAAAAAACGAACAGCAAATAAATAAAACAGAAAAACAGGATAATGTGAACGACCTTTGAGGGGTCCTTTACAGTCAGGCAACCCACGGATTTCCAGAGAAATGTGTACTATGCTCGAAAGGAGAGTTTTTTAAATGGAACTTGTGGAATGTGAACTGAGAGAAAGAACTTGTGGAATCTGAATGGCAGTGGCTTTACTTGAAGATAGAATTGAATATTCCTTAGCTGATTTCGGAATTTAATCCATCCATTCAAATGTGCAAAACAATTCTCTTAACTCAGCTAAAGAAGACCTTTAAAATGGAAGTTCAATGAAAAAACTCCTTCTTTGTTCATGATATGTATGTCGTATGCATTTTGTTTATTGGTGCTGTCAATAAATAAATGTACAGTAATAATAAAGTCAACAATTCTATGTACAACTCAGAGTCCTGCAAGTCCTACGATCCTTAGTGGTGGTAGCTGACGGCGGGGGCAGCGTACGTGGAGTAGTGGGCAGCGGGCGCGGAGTATGTAACAGCTGGGGCGGCATGAGCATAGTGGGCAACGGAAGCTGGGGCGGAATAGGAGGTATACTGAGCAGGAGCAGCATAGTGGGCCACGGGAGCAGGTGCGGCATAGGATGTGTACTGGGCAGGAGCAGCATAGTGGGCCACGGGAGCAACGGCCTTGACGACAGCTGGGGCGGCATAGGAGTGGTAGGCGGGAGCCACAGTCTTCACAACAGCGGGAGCGGCGTAGTGGGTGGGAGCAGCATAGTGGGCCACGGGAGCGGCGATGGTCTTCACAACGGGGGCAACGGCGACGGCCTTGACGAGGGGCTCACGGTTCACGACGGCATTGAATCCATTGATGGGGTCGGCGGTGTACTGGACGGTGCGCTTGTAACCATCGGCATCGATCAGGGAGTACTCTCCGCGGACGACATCTCCGTCGCGCTCCTCCACCTGTCCCTTGTTGTCGCCGGTCAGCTTGTCATCGACTCCGTAGGAGAAACGGTACTGGGGATGGGGATCGTATTCCTCGGCGGCCTTCACCACAACCTTCTGGGCGACGGCCACGGGCGCGGCATGGGCATAGGTGGCCACCGCTGGGCCGGCGTGGTAGACCTGGGGAACGGCGTATCCGGCGCTGGCAACGGCCACGAAGGCGAGAGCGAAGACGAACTGCAAGAAGGAGGAGAGTCGGGAGGCGAGAGTGAGGCGTGGTAATCCATCGATCGATCCACACTGTGGGGCAGAGCACTTACCTTGAATGCCATTTTGGGAGGTGTGTTTGTGCTGTGCTGATTGGGTTCTTTACAGAAGTGAACTTGAGCTGCGAATGATACTTTTCTGGAAACAGACGTCAACTTTTATAGTAAATCAAGTTCGCGCAGCTCTGCCCCGGACCTGCCACGATCTGATCTGCTTTGCTTTTGCTCTGCTCTGCTCTGCTCTGCTCAGATTTGATCTGCTGCGCGGTGACAGCGAAATCTATTTAATGTTTCGTCGACTTTGAATGTACAGAAATTGCGGGGCAATAACTCGTACTTCCTGTTCGTGGCGCCTAAGCTCTGTGGGTGTGCAAAATGCGAATGTTAGGTTCTTTTTTGGTCAAAGATTCTGCAAATAACACAGAACAAAAGAGTTAGAGAAAGGTTATTGAAAGGGTTTGGCTTTAATTATGCTTAACTTTCGATTCATAGCATATTAATTGAAGCCAATCTCTTGGTACAGATCCGTTTTAATTGCTAAGCAACTGTCTGTGATATTTCATACCAATCCAACAGATCTTTAATTCTTTTTTCAGCAGATATTCACCCCTACATTCTTGAGAGTAGCTCTTAAGCTCTGTTAATCCTCTTGAGAGCTGAATGTAGATGATTTGATTATTATTAAGGTTTTGGGAATATTATATAAGACCTATGTAACTTTTGGGGGAGAACATTTGTCAAGCTTCTTAGGGGAATATGTATCAGGGTTATTGAACTTTAGCTTAGGGATTAATATGTTTCCGTTATGGGTAAGCAATCATACTCGAAGGCAGTTTTTGCGAGTGAAAAATTGATTAGATTATAGCTCCAAATTTCATCTAGAAAAAGAGATTTTACATTAGGTTGAAGTCTCCTAGAGAACCTCTTTCTTGAAAGGATTATGTAGCATACATATATTTGATGTGATGCCCATTTCGTTCATAAAGTTTTCATTAAAAAAATTGAAAATCCTTCTTTTATTTCTACTTCATATATCTCATCACCTCATTAAGATTACATCATACACTTATCAACAATTTCGCGCAATCAGAGACCTCAATGAAGGCCACCCAACCACATAGCAACTTGGAAACAATTCTCAAGTCCTCATCTCATCCAAAGATCTCGGATAAATCCCCTTTGCTATTAGTGGATGCAATCATCTCTCGCTGCCACCAATTTGTGGGCGACGTGGGCAACTGGCTGCAGGGAAATACCGAATCCTTTCTAAATAATTATGGCCATTGCAGTTGGATGTCGACAATCTCTTCGAATCTCCACCTCTGCCACGACCACGACCTGCGTAAGCGTCTGCGTCTGCGTCAGCTTCTGCGTCAACGGCAGCGCAGCAGTGACTGAGCGCTAATGTGGAGCATGATATGCAGAAGGCCACGCTTAAGCACCTCCATAGTACAGCGCGGACTTGGTCGCCGAGGAAAGTGCATACGAGTGGCTATAAATACGCTGGCCAGGCCAGAAGCCATATCATTCAGCCCTCAGTCTCTCTTCTGCACAGAACCAACCCACAAGCCCCCAAACCAAACTAAAATGGCATTCAAGGTGAGCTCTCCTCATATTGGAGCTCCTCCTGGAAACGATCTAATGAGTCCCTCTGTTTCAGTTCGTCTTCGCCCTCGCCTTCGTGGCCGTTGCCAGCGCCGGATACGCCGTTCCCCAGGTCTACCACGCCGGCCCAGCGGTGGCCACCTATGCCCATGCCGCGCCCGTGGCCGTCGCCCAGAAGGTTGTGGTGAAGGCCGCCGAGGAATACGATCCCCATCCCCAGTACCGTTTCTCCTACGGAGTCGACGACAAGCTGACCGGCGACAACAAGGGACAGGTGGAGGAGCGCGACGGAGATGTCGTCCGCGGAGAGTACTCGCTGATCGATTCCGATGGATACAAGCGCACCGTCCAGTACACCGCCGACCCCATCAATGGATTCAACGCCGTCGTCAACCGCGTGCCCCTCGAGCATGTCAAGACTGTTGTGAAGACCGTCGTCGCTCCCGCTGTTGCCCACTATGCTGCCCCCGCTGTGGTCAAGACCGTGGCTCCCGCTTACCACACCTATGCTGCCCCAGCTGTTGTCAAGACGGTTGCTCCCGTGGCCCACTATGCTGCTCCCACCCACTACGCAGCTCCCGCTGCCACCTACACCTCCTACGCCGCCCCCGCTGTCGCCTACCACCACTAAGTTCCATCCCAGCCATCCCCCATACCCATACCCATGCCCCTTCTTGTTATAGTTATACGAATGCCCATAAAAATACACAAATATTTTCCACATAAAGAGTGTCTTTTCCTGTTCAACGACATCCGCTTTTAAGGATCAATGCAGCCTCAGGCACAGGTCAAGTCCGATTGGAGCTGGCAATTTAATTGAGTTGGATTTAGTGCGGTTCATTAGGGCTCCACTCCATTCCATTGCCAATTAATTTGGCTGCGACATTGAAATTCCGAACTCCAATGGAGTTTCTTTTTCTTTCAATTATTCCATTTACTACTCCATTTGCTACACCCGCAACGATTTCGATTCGATTCGGCTCTGCTCTGGAAATTGACCAATCCTATCAGCAATCAATAAATCATAACAAATTCAGATCTAATAACATAAGCGCATTCATATAACTATGTCACGGATGTAGCTCTAGTAGTCTGGTATATTCTGAGGCAGATCGGAGCACGTGGTCATCAGCTTCCGGTTAGTGCTTGGGTAATTCTCCAATTGTATCTAACGGATTGAAAGTGCCGGCTTTTCCAGCGTCAAGTTCAATTCCAATTCCAATTCATGTTTCTATCATGACGTGGGGGATTCAGTTGCTCAGGAACTGGTTTGACTAGCGTTCAGACGTACGCCAGACAAGATCGAATCTCGAATCGTTCTTATAATCCCATTTGTCGATAGCTGGGTAATGATTTCGGCCCCACTCCAATAGAAGTAACAAATTCGTTAATTAAAACATTGTATTTGAAAGTGAAATACATGAACTAAAGTTGAAGTGAAGTGAATTGAAAGCGAAATTGAAACGGACAAAGAAGCGGCCTTAAGGGGTCATTGATTCTTGGGTAGATTCTGGAGATTTGAGGTACCTTTTTTTGTGCGTCCAAGAAATAGTTTCAATTGCACTAACATAATCCTATAAATGTTATTTTTTGAGCTCTAATGAGCTCCCAATAAAATTCTTTTGCCTTCAAACGAATGGGGAATATTTCATTACATCATTTGGCAGAGAGTTGAGTCACTTTCCTACCACTTTGACCATGATCGAGCACTTATCTATGCCGCAGCAATAGCTGTAATGCAAAGAGAGAAAAGCTTCAATCCAAAAGCTCGAAATGGTATAGGTATTGATATGGGTATGGGTATGGTGACCATTCCACTTTTGTGGGTCATTCGCCAAGGGGGAGGATAGAGTAGGAGATGGAGGTGTGTCTCTCTTTCTGCCTCCGTATGTATGTACGTGTATCTGTGTGTCAAGTGCAATGCTGGGCATCGATCAAAGTGGGATTTATTGGGTTACTTACATGACTAGAGAGTACTGCAGCACCGTAGCCCCGTCCCCGATCCGATCCAAGTCCCGGCCCTGATCGCAAGCAAGTTGCTCGCCTAAGTCTTTTGTTTGTAACGGGCTTTTGTAGTTGCTCTTAGCGTTTTGTCCGCTTATTCGTCTGTCCGTCTAAGTGTCCGCCAGTCCGTCGTCCGTTCGTTCGTGTGTCCGTCCGCGTTTCATTCATAACAATAGCAAAATGGGTGTGACTCGTGGGTGCAAATCGTTGGGGGAAGAGCGAAAGAGAGGCAGACATGCAAATGAATTAAGATTGAAGTGATTTCTGTAAGCCAAAAAACGTGAAAAAGTGAAAGAAAGGCCAGGAGAGACAATGGCCAAATGATGAGGGGTCGTTGCTGGGTTGCTGGGTTGCTGCTGCCACGAAAATTTCGTCTATAAATACAAATGCAGCGCCGAACGGATTATTATTCAAGGCACACACTCCACAGAAGGAGGACAAAGTTTCGCTTCTTTTGCCCAATAACCTTAAACACTCGCAAAATGGCTTTCAAGGTGAGTTGGTAGCTGATGTAACGCCTCTTTTGGCTTGGTAACAATCCCAAAAATCCCACATCTAATCGTCTTCTGCCCACAGTTGGTCGCACTCGTCTCCTGCTGCCTGGCAGCCGCATCCGCTGGCATCATTCCACTGGAGCATCACGAACAGCAGCAGCCACAACATGTCCTGTATCAGGCTCAGCCCCAGCACCAGCCCCAGCATGTGCTCTACCAGAAGGCACATGATATCCATGCCCACGGACACGAGGTCTACCCGGATGATCCCCATCCCAAGTACAACTTCGCCTACGATGTGCAGGATGCCCTCTCCGGAGACTCCAAGAGCCAGTCAGAGTCCCGCGACGGAGATGTGGTCCAGGGCGAGTACTCGCTGGACGATGCCGACGGTTTCCGCCGCACTGTGAAGTACACCGCTGACTCGGTGAACGGATTCAATGCCGTCGTCCATCGCGAGCCACTGGCTCATGTGCACCACAAGGTGGTGGCTGCTCCAGCTGCTGTTCAATACCACCATGCACCGACTGCTGTGATCAAGACGCCCGTGTCTTATGCCGCTCCGGCTCCCACTTATGCGGCACCCACCTATGCTGCTCCAGCGTACACCTCTCCCGCTTACACCGCCCCCGCCTACGCCTCTCATCATGAGCAGCAGCAGCAGCTGCAGCAGGAGCAGGAGCACCAGCACCACTATGCCACCTACGAGACTCCCGCCCCCGCCCATGCTGCCCATGAGGCCCATGAGTATTACCATCACCAGTAGGAGATCCTCCCTTCCTAGAGATCTGACAAGCGAAAGTATTATCTTGCATCCATTCCATTCTGATCTATCATTTTCCACATTAATTTAGTTCTGTTGATTAGTTATATTGTACATATTTTGAATAAACTTTGATGAATGCCTAAAAACTTTAAATTCCAATACATTTATGAAGGTTGAAAGTGTATAAATATCATGGGTATACACAGTGAAGTAATGTCCAGAGTCAGCTTTGAATTATCCTAAATAAATCAGGATTGGTTGCTGGATTTTGTACTTCAACAAAAATTACACATAAACTCAGAATGAAAATCAAAATCAAGGTTGTACAAATATGTCTCCCCGACATATCTAATCCCCAAACAACAAACATGACTTGTAATATAATAAATCCAAAATCCAAGATGACAATCAAATCTCAAAGATTAGACACATTCCATTGGCAAACAAATAATCAGAACAAATACACAGAACACACGCTTCTTAAGTAATCCTTAAAATCAAAACAAAAATTTGTATCCAAACATATTCCAAAAGATATGTGCGTAATGTGAGAGAACAATTGGCATTAATTTAATGAAGTGTGAGATTTACATATTAAGCACCGCGACAGTGTTTCCCGATTGGTCATGATTCAATGCGAATTTTTCTGTTGCCGCAGCTCCACATTCGAAGACCGGTTTTTGTGGGGTCTTGCGGCGGGCGGTCTGGTTTGCCAAAATATCCGGTAGCAACAATAGCACTTTTTGCAATTTTAATGTCGCACACAAATTGAATGTCAAATTATTTGAGGCATACCATGCTGCCATACGCGGGACGCGGGTATTGGCTCTGATATCAGTTTCGGTTGGCGGCCAAGCAAGTCCGGCAACGACTTGGTGTGTGGACTCTGACTCGATCTTGAGGTATGTCCAATTGCAAGACAAGACATAATTTGCTCCACATTCCCACACAAAGGTCTAACGCAACCACATAAGCGACCAAATGCCGGTTCGCCCTCGATGCTCTCGGCCTTTCGCTCCTCAATTGTGTGGCTTTAGCTTTGGCTGTGGCCTGCGGCCTGTGGCTTTGGCAATGCGAGTGGATCGAGTGCTCTGCTCTGGCACTTGGTGGGACAATAATGTCCGAAAGTATACATATCGTAGAACACAATTTAAGATAAGTTAAAGTTAAAGACGGTTTCTTAATTTCAACGAATCAAATAGAAGACTTAAGCAAGGAACTAAGGACAGGGACTCCTATCGAATCGATCCTAGCTTGATCGATGCCCATCATTGCACTTGACACACAGATACACACAGACAGAGGCGAAGATCTATTTATAGATAGACACACCTCCATCTCCGTCTTCCCTTTGGCGAATGATACGAAAAAGTTGCCTGCTCACCTTGCTCATATCCATACCCATTCGGAAATAAAACCCATACCATTTGGAGCTTTCGGGTTGAAGCTTTTCTCTCTTTGCATTACAGCCATTACCGTGGCATAGATAAGTGCACAATCATGGCCAAAATAGTAGGAAAGTGACTCAACTCTCTGCCAAATGATGTAATGAAATATTCCGCATTCGCTTGGCAACGAATGAAATTCCTTTGCAAGCTAATTTTTAGAAGAGTAATCCAAGAGATATCCATATTTTAGCTTAAACCATTTACTTTTAATCAATTTTATTGAAAATTCTTCAGCGAGGGTCTATCAGGGTCTATCATCCAACGCAGCGCTACTTCGAGTTCTTATCCTTGAGCGCCCCGAAGTATAGAACCGACCAAGACTTGTCTAGAACTTCGTATTCCCTGGGACGCTGGTTGATGCTATTAATGTTGTCCAAGTGTTATTAGGGTTACGTATGTTCCCCTTCTAGTCCTATGTCCTTACCTTATATCCGAGGTGAATAGACGGTGTCGATGAAGCTGCTGTGGAATGCAAACGAGCTTCGGTGCGGGTTTCAGTTGCAAGGCACAGTCGCTATCCGTAGAGTGAAGGTTGCTGTCGTTTGAACCCATTTGGCCGGATTTGGAAGACATCATTGTTACATAGGTTTCTGTCTCTTAACCAAAAAAAATTTTATATATTGAATATGGGAAACAATTACTATCCTGTTAAACAATTTTTTTAAATGTGTGTACTGTGTATAGAAAAATCCGACTGTAGGGACAAGGCTAAGTGATATATTCCTTATTGTAAAATTTGGAATACAATTTCGACTGTCAAGGCATCCTTTTTTATTCCAATCTCCAAAATATCTCCAAGAATCAATGACCCCCTTAGACCGCTTCTGTGTCCGTTTCAATTTCGCTTTCAATTCACTTCACTTCACCTTTAGTTTCACTTTCAAATACAATGTTTTAATCAACGAATTTATTGCTTCTTATTGGAGTGGACCAGAAATCATTACGGAAAAGCCGGCACTTTCAATCCAAGCACTAACCGGAAGCTGATGACCACGTGCTCCGATCTGCCTCAGAATATACCAGACTACTAGAGCTACATCCGTGACATAGTTATATGAATGCGCTTATGTTATTAGATCTGAATTTGTTATGATTTATTGATTGCTGATAGGATTGGTCAATTTCCAGAGCAGAGCCGAATCGAATCAATATCGTTGCGGGTGTAGCAAATGGAGTAGTAAATGGAATAATTGAAAGAAAAAGAAACTCCATTGGAGTTCGGAATTTCAATGTCGCAGCCAAATTAATTGGCAATGGAATGGAGTGGAGCCCTAATGAACCGCACTAAATCCAATTCAATTAAATTGCGAGCTCCAATCGGACTTGACCTGTGCCTGAGGCTGCATTGATCCTTAAAAGCGGATGTCGTTGAACAGGAAAAGACACTCTTTATGTGGAAAATATTTGTGTATTTTTAGGGGGCATTCGTATAACTATAACAAGAAGGGGCATGGGTATGGGTATGGGTATGGGGAATGGCTGGGATGCAACTTAGTGGTGGTAGGCGACAGCGGGGGCGGCGTAGGAGGTGTAGGTGGCAGCGGGAGCTGAGTAGTGGGTGGGAGCGGCATAGTGGGCCACGGGAGCAACCGTCTTGACGACAGCTGGGGCAGCATAGGTGTGGTAAGCGGGAGCCACAGTCTTGACGACAGCTGGGGCGGCATAGGTGTGGTAGGCGGGAGCCACGGTCTTGACCACAGCGGGGGCAGCATAGTGGGCAACAGCGGGAGCGGCGACGGTCTTCACAACAGTCTTGACATGCTCGAGGGGCACGCGGTTGACGACGGCGTTGAATCCATTGATGGGGTCGGCGGTGTACTGGACGGTGCGCTTGTATCCATCGGAATCGATCAGGGAGTACTCTCCGCGGACGACATCTCCGTCGCGCTCCTCCACCTGGCTCTTGGAGTCGCCGGAGAGCGAGTCTTGGACATCGTAGGCGTACTTGTACTGGGGATGGGGGTCGTATTCCTCGGCGGCCTTGGCCAGCACGGGCTGGGCAATCGTCTTGACGACGGCGGGTGCGGCATAGGTGGCCACGGCGGGGGCGGCGTGGTAGACCTGGGCGGCGGGCAGAAGGCCGGCGTTGGCAGCGGCGATCAGAGCGAAGAGGGCGATGAACTGGAAGGGAAGGGCATTCTGAATGAGGATCTTGGGTCTTTGGTATGGTATCTGTGTGCTCTCCTGATCGTACCTTGAATGCCATTTTGATTGGTTTGTGGTTTGGGGCTTGTGCTGCGGTTGCTGCTGCTGTTAGTTGCTGTGAGGCGAAGAGTGGACTGTGAGGGCTACTGGGCCAACAGTCTGCTTTTATACGTATATGGAGCAACTTCTGGTAGTGGCTGGCAATGGCCACGCTCTCCGCGTAATTAGTGCAATTCAGTTATGCTAAACGTGGATGGAGAGCAGCGATAGGAGGTGGAAGAGAAGGAGGGAAATTGTAACATTGAAATCGTGCTCTATTGTACGAAAAATGTCTTTGTGTGCTGTCATCGAAATAAATTCAATTTATCCAAGAAATACGCGTATGCACAGGTATTTCTGTGGCTCCGAAAAACCAGTTTGCTGCGACTGTTAATGAAAGCGTAATTGGGGAAGTGCATTAAAAGAGCATCCATCAAGTGCAGGGGTTTCGAATGGGAGTTGCAACAGAATATTCTATAAGGATATTTGAGGAGTAATTCCACGTTCATATTTATGATATGATGGCGCATGATTTTAATCTCATTTCGAACTGCTAATCTTTGAAATTTGTTCTCTATGCTTAAGAAATTTTGTGAATGATATTTGCTAAGGCTCTTCTTTAAGGTTTATAAGTATATAAGATTGGGAATTGCTTGCATATTATTCATAGGGTCGAAAGGGTAGCCCGTCTCTTCTGAAAAACTCCTCCACCCCTAGATCTTGCAGTTTCAGAAGCTACAAATTTTTTGACCAAATACTAATTAAAATTGGATTTGTGTAATCAATAAAATGCAGCTTGGTTTTATAATTAAAGTTTGCCATTTTAAGCAGAACCAAAGAGTTTAAGATGGTGCGTGACAGTTTTTACAAGCCCCCGGTCCCAGCCCCAGAGGCAGGTGGCATTCGAGGCGCCGCCGCGACAGTGAGGGCACCGCCAAAAATGAATTCCAATTAGGTGTCATCAATGTCATTGGATCGCGTATAAAATCCAATGGCCCGAGACGGGTCAGACATTCAGTGTTTGGCTTCAGCCCAAGACAGCAACTGCAGTAAATCCAACTAAAAATCCATTCAAAAATGGCCTGCAAGGTTCGTGTGGATAAAGCGAGGATTAAAACAGGATTATCAGTGTTCTAAAATTCTCTATCTCTTCCACGCAGATCGTGATCGCTTTGGCTCTGTTCGCCGTGGCAGCCCAGGCCGCCGTTCTGAGGACCGTCGCTCCCGTGGCAGTGGCTCCGGCACCCGTCCCCGTCCTGGCCAAGACCGTCGAATTGGAGGAGGTGGATCCCCATCCCCAGTACTCCTACAGCTACGATGTGCAGGACTCTATCTCCGGCGACAACAAGGGGCATGTGGAGGAGCGTGACGGAGATTTGGTCCGCGGCGAGTACTCCCTGATCGATGCCGACGGTTTCAAGCGTACTGTGACCTACACCGCCGATTCTATCAATGGATTCAATGCTGTTGTCCGTCGTGAGCCCATCGTCGCCGTGCAGGCTGAGCCATTGATCAAGGCCGCTCCCGTTGCTGTTGCCGCTCCCCTCGTGAAGGCTGCTCCTGTTGCTGTGGCAGCACCGATTGTCCGCTCTGCTCCTTTGGCCGTGGCTGCTCCTGTCCTTCGCTCTGCTCCTCTTGCGGTTGCCTCCCCCATTGTCCGTTCGGCTCCGCTGGCGCTTTCCTCTCCCCTTGTCCGATCTGCCCCTCTGGCGGTGGCTGCCCCAGCACCCATCCTGCGCACCGCTGCCTATTCCACGCCTTTGAGGTACACAGCCCCTACCTATACCATTGCCAACTTGTAAAATCTGACTTTTGTTTTTGTTAATGAATATAAATTGTGATTGTTATGTTAATTTGAATGGTTTTTATTGGGGTGTCTTTCTAGAAGTCTTATGGTAGAAGATTCTGAGAGTAAGAAGATCAATTCTTACCTTCCCTCAGAGTCTGGATCTTAAAAGTATCTCTTTATATGGTTCTCTTCTATTTCTTGTCTAGGTCAGTTCCATTTTGAAACACTCTTTCGGACACTCCTCTTTTATCTCTCTAAGGTCTCTTTCCTCCCCAATCTACAGATTAATCGGGCAACACAATATCCCACTCAAGGCAGAATAGTGAAAGTGTTCAAAATCCGCTGAGAGTTTCGCCTATGACACTAAGCCGCAGAGCCCCACATTTGCATGCCCCAAAAGATTGCATAAATTTATATATGTATATATATATCTTTTTCGCATTGCGTGGGCCATTGTAATTGCCCCGTTTCCAGTCAATAAATTAATAAGTTAAATAATAAAAAAAATATACAAAAAAATGATATCAAAAGTGACAAAACTGATTTTTTGGCCAAAAGCAAAATTAATCAATTTCAATTAGCTTTTTTCGAGCTTCGCACTTTTTGCAGGGGTATAAAAAGCAGTGTACGCTGGCCAGTAAATCATTCCACAGCCTCTCTGTCTTCGGAACAGTTAACGGATACCGTTAAACCAACCTCCAAACCTCCCAAATTTAGAGCCATGGCCTTCAAGGTGAGTGATCCTGGTAGTCTAGGAGGTTTTTCTTTTATTAATTGGCTTCATCCTTCCAGTTCTTCGCCGTTCTTGCCCTCGTGGCTGCCGTTAGTGCTGGTGTTGTTCCCGTCCAGCAGGTGTACCATGCTCCAGCCCCTGCAGTGGCCTATGCCCATGCTCCTGTGGCCGTTGCCCATGCCCAGCCCGTGCTGGCCAAGCACGACGATGAGTACGATCCCCATCCCCAGTACAAGTTCGCCTACGATGTGCAGGACGCCCTCTCCGGAGACTCCAAGAGCCAGGTGGAGGAGCGCGACGGCGATGTCGTCCATGGCGAGTACTCCCTCAACGACTCTGACGGCTACCGTCGCATTGTCCAGTACACCTCGGACCCCATCAACGGATTCAATGCCGTCGTCAACCGCGTGCCCCTCGACCATGTCAAGACTGTGGTGAAGTCAGTGGCACCCGTGGCTGTTGCCGCTGCCCCACTGCCAGTGGCCTACCATCAGCACCACTAAGGCTTACGGCTCTCATCCTTCCCTCATCCCTTAACGAAATGTTTTAGATGAATAAATTGTTGAATATTTGTAAGCTCACAAATTCGAGAGTGTCTTTTTAATTGAACATTGAAAATGGAAGCTGAAAAGGAGAGCTAATGAAAGTCTAAAGGGAATTCCCTAAGAGAGGGACCCATAATCTAGGCTCTTCCTTAAATTCCTCCCAAAGAAACCTCAGCTGCAATGATTATTTAGCATTACCTTGGCTCTTCTTTAAAGGCCTCATGAGCACATATATTTTGTAATCAATTTTCTGGTAATCAATTTGCTGGTAATAACTTATTAAGGGCCCTCAAAATTTAAACAGGCGTTGGATCTCGGGTCCGACCCATTTTACACCAATCATCGAAAATTGAGGCAGACATCCGATTGGAAAGAAACGCATTGGAACATTTCAATAAAAAACCATCTGCGTTCGAAGGCTTATTGAATTTTAATGCATGTAATGTGCCTTTTGGCTTGGATGTGCATTCAAAGCGCGGGGACACCCCCTTGAAAAACCAGTTAAGGTCAGATGGCTGCATGGTCCGAACCTTTCGCCAAGTCTGGGGCCTGTGTCCGACTCGGCTTGAGAATGATTTACGTGACATTATTGGACTTAAATTGTTTCCTTTATCTTAAAGTGGCTACCAGATAGGAGGCGGCAGACTTTCGAACGTGGGCAAGTGCAAATATGCCAAGGCAGAGGGCCAGCCATAGCCACATGACTGTCACAGAAGTGGACAGGAGACCCCAAACCATGAACAACCGACAGCAGTCAATGGACAACGTGCATGGAGCCACGGACAGCAAAGGTTAAGGTCACAGTCAATTTTCATTGTTAATTACCGTTGGAGTGAGCGCTTCGTTGGCCAAAAACGGACCCGTTCCCATGCTTAGCATGTAAGTACACATGCCCAGAGATCCACAGTAGTCACAACAACCACAGCCGGAGCTTCAAAGATCGACAGTAGCCCGAACCACAGTGTGGCAGCTCGTAATGGCTGTGCGCATGCGCAACGTCTCGCATCGAGGCCCATAAACGTTTACCAGACGAATTACAACAATGCTCGTGTCGCATTAAAAACCAGCCCAGACCCCGAACCAGACCCATACCCCATCATCAATGCGCTTAAGCCCCGTTCACACTAGGCCCCCATTGCAATGACTACAAAATACTAAAATCTTCTGCGGGTTTCCCCCGTGCCGCTTACAAACTGAACTTGACAGCAATTTAGTGGCCACTCGAAATAAATTTATTTGCTTAGTGTAAACGCTTCTTGTCTTGTCGCGACATTCTCTGCGTTCTTGGACGTGTTGGACTCCGGCTTTGTGTTGGCCATTTACGTTGACATTATTCACTGTTTCACTTCTGTGGACGGAAAGTGTTATTTTGTCAGTTTATGTCGGGGAGTGGAGCGTTCTTTCTTGTAAGGTGACCTTGAAAACGCTTGTAGTTGGGAGTGAAAGTGAGTTTCGGTTTCTTTTGAGTACTTTTCGTGGGACAAAGCAGAAAGTAAGATGATTATTTGTTGAAAGGAAATGAAGATAATGATTACAGAAGCCCAAGAGAAGATTAAATGGAATGACACAACAATTTGGTGAATGAATTTGGAACTTATGTGTAGATAATAAACAATATATAGGTCGCTTCCTGTTGGGGAAGGAAAATAAATAAGGTCTTATCCACACACATAGAATTGAGGCTTTTGAGATAATCTTTATATAAGATCTGGGGCAAATAGTTGGAAATTTTCCATAACGAATCACTGCAACTCGACTAGACACTTTTTAACTCGAGATCAAATGGAATTTTCTGTTGGATTTACAGATATTATATCCATATCAATTCTTAATTGAGTTTCCTTTTTACAGTCTAGTCCCTCTTACGATCCAAATTTCAACTAAGGACTATTTTCTTCGCTAAGAGCAATGAATATTATGATTAAGAATACATTTTAAGTATTCCCCCTCCCAAAAACACATAATACTTTTAAGTTTTGCTTTCATTTAGATCACATCCATTTATTCAATAACAACTAACGGCAATTATCTGGTCGTGGCGCCTATTCGGGCACTTCAATAGGCGTACGAGATAAGAGGCGAAGCGTACTGGGTCTTGACGAAAGCGGGTCCGGCTGCGACCAGAGGAGCGGCCTTCACGATGGGTGCTGGGGCAGCGGCATAGGTCAGAGGTGCTGGGGCATAGGCTGGGGCAGCAGCATACGCGAGGGGAGCCGGGGCAGCATGATAGGCAAGGGGAGCTGGGGCAGCGGCATAGGCAGCGGTACGGACAGCAACCGGAGCGGCAGCCACAACGGGAGCGGCACGGACAACTGGAGCTGGGGCGGCGGCAACGGCGGCCACTAGAGGCTCACGACGGACGACGGCATTGAATCCATTGATGGGATCGGCGGTGTAGTCCACAATGCGACGGTAGCCATCAGCGTCGTTGAGGGAGTACTGGCCCTGGACAACATCTCCGTCGCGGCTCTCCACCTGGGTCTTGGAGTCCCCGGAGATGGCATCCTTCACGTCATATCCGTAGGTGTACTGGGGATGGGGATCGTACTCCTCCACTTGGGCGACGGCGGCCAACGGAGCAGCAGCTGGGATGAGGCCAGCGCTGGCCACGGCGATGCAGGCGGCGAAGAGGACCACGAACTGGAATTAAGACATGGGCACATTTTAATACACTATTCTTTGTTCACTTGATATCACAGGTTTTTAGTCCTTGGGGTGGATGAGCATGAGCCTTACTTTGAATGCCATTTTTGTTTTGTTTTTGGGGGGTGTTGCTCTAGATACCGTAATTGGTTTTGAACTGATTTTAACAGCGTCCAACTGGGGCTTATATACCGATTTGATGGCAACCTGCCCGATGACGGTGTGCACTTGCGTCACAAAACGACGCCGACCATATCAAAATGCGAGACGCTCAAGACTAGAAGCAGTCCGTCCCCGAACTGGGGGGATCGGGTATTGGGTAGTACAGTGCACACGATGGGCGGCTACCAAGGCTGAGTTTTGTGCGATCGGTGACAAAGGCCCCCAGCATAATGCCTTCTTGATTGGATTGGCTTGGATTGGACTTGAGCAGACTTGGCTCTACAAATTAATATTGGCCTCAGAAGTCGCATGCCCGAACGTGCACTCCAGCCTTTGAATCGATCATCATGATGATGATGATCATTCGCTTTCGAAAAAATGCCCGTTCGCACTATTATTAAACGATATCGTATGCAGCGCATGCGCAAATGCATAACAACGGTTTTTCAAATCGTCTCTGCACTTGCACCCCCAGCCCCACACCCATTAACCATTAACCATTATATGGGTATATGGCTTCCCTTCCCCCCACCGCCAGTTAGCGACCTTAAACGTTTAGTTTTTGAGTCGGTCTGTCGCTCCAGTTGAACGTTAATGGGATTTCAAGCGTATGTTTATGGTGTCGCGCTGTCGCACTTCCGAATGGCCACCCAAAACAAAGTGAAGTCAATGCTTATCAATGCTCAGGTATTTCTGGTGATATTCTTTTGGATTTTACTTATTTGTAGGGTATTTTTGTGGCTATTCTTTTCAATTAATCATGGCAAGAAGTTCGTTATTTCCTAGCCATTTGTAATGGCGCTAATTGTAGCGGAAGTCCACATTTTGGAGGCCGTTTCAGCATTTACAGCCATTTTTCAATTATCTCCCGTGAATAATCCAGGAATTCTTAAGATTTTCCTTTGCTTTAATGTCTTGAAAAAGTGTATTTAAAGGAAAATCCTTCAGATTATAAAGTACTTTCCACTTAAAAATCCCTTGCATTCGACAGTAAAACAAATTTCTTATAAAGAAATTACTTTCAACAGTTTAATTCAAATAAAATCTTCAGCAAACCAATTTTACATCTAGAACACATAAGAAATATGCTGTGGATGCGGCACATGATGCGAGATGATGGCCTGTGATGGGGCTGCATGGTGCACCACATGATGGGTGACGGGAGCATGGTGGATCACCGTCGAGGCCGGGCCAAAGGATCGATGGACCACAGCAGACGCCTGAGAGTGCGGCTTCAGGACAGGCAGCTTTTTCAGAGGCTGCAACTTTACGGGAGCCGCAGGCCTTGCCACAAATGCAGTGGCACTGGAGAGTGGCTCTCGACGAACCACAGCATTGAAACCACTCTCGGCATCGACGCTGTACTCCACAACTCGACGATAGCCATCGGCATCGTTGACAGAGTATTGTCCACGGACCACATCGCCATCTCGGGACTCCGATTGGGACTTGACATCACCGGTTTCGCCATCCTGGACATCATAGTTGAAGGTGTACTGTGGATGGGCATCGAAGGTGTCCTCGCTTCCGACTGATTTCACGGGCAGCAGACCCGCCTGGACCACGACAACAAAGGCCACAAAAAATGCAATCTGTGGGTGATGGGATCGAATGGTTGAGTTGATAAATTTCAATGGGAAGTGCCGCACATCTACTATACGAGTATGCTTACTCTGTTCAACATGTCTGGGCGATCTTAATGAGAGATGATTAAGGTTTGTTCCTGTCGGTCGCTGACTTTACACAAATTCATTTCGCTGCGGTCTCCAGCTTATATACCACACTGGATGCTCATTGACCCAATGCCACACTGCCCTGCATCTGCAGTGGTACCCGCCGGGACCTGTTGCCGTTCTGTGCTCTCTACAGTGCGGCAAGGTCAACGCAATGAGACCTCCAGTCTCTCGCCTAATTGGAGTCGAGATGCGGCAACAAGTTTGTCAGACAATCGACAGGTTTCCAGACCGTTTCCAGCTGCAGGCCCTTCCATATTTTTGCATTAACACTCGACAGGCATTCTGCATTATCATATCTGTGGTTCCTTGAAGAGGCTAAGAGAAAGATGGTTGGCCCAAGAGTTTTTCCATAAATTATAAAAAGGGGTTGCAGATTGGATGATCAACTACGACGTCGACTACAATATTAATAAGCTT